TCCGGAAAGACGCACTGAGTGCGCACACAAATCGAGAAAGTCTAGAACATAACTGTTAAAGGTTTCGGATCACAGAATTAGGTTTAAATTATAAGATGACCTATCGGGTCATCACACCAATAGTTCTAAGTTCGACATGCTATTAAAAATAGATCTTGAAAAGGCTTTCGTCAAATTGGAATGGGATTTTATTCATAAAACCCTAAATTTCTTTAAATTCCCTCCTAAAATATCCGAACTCATTATGCATTGCATTAGTACTAGCAATATTGGTTTCCTTGTTAATGGTACTAAGACTAAATACTTTAGTCATAATAGAGGAATTCGTCATGGAGATCCTATGTCTCCATACATATTTATCTTATGTATGGAACTTCTCTTAAGGCTTATTGACAATCAGGTTGATACCGTGCTCTGGGATCCTGTTAAAATTAGTCCTAAAGGTCCTAGTTTCTCCCTCTCCTTTTTGCTGATGATCTTACTTTAATTGGAAATGCTAATCACAAAACTGGTGATTGTATTAAGCGTTGCTTAAACCTATTTTCAGAAGAATCTGGCTTATCCATAAACTATGTGAAATCCAGGCTAATTTTCTCTAAAAAATTCCCTCAAGGTGTTACTTCCTATTTTGCCAATTTATTCAACATGAAATTAAGTTTTGAATTTGGTAAGTACCTTTGCTTCCCCATTTTAAACCATAAACCAAAGTCCAAAGACTTCCAGTTTGTCACTGACAAAATGCGTATGAGACTATCTCATTGGAAATCAAATCTCCTAAATATAGCGGGTAGAACAACATTAGCAACCTCCACCTTGAGTTCAATTCCAACTCATCTCATGCAATATACTATGCTCCCTACTAAGATCTTAAACCAGATAGATAAGATTCAAAGGGACTTTATATGGGACTCCAGAAAAAAATTACAACTTGTAAACTGGAAGACCGTTACACAAGACAACATAGAAGGAGGACTAGGGATTCGTACAACCTATAAAAAAAACTTAGCGGTGCTCACAAATCTGACCAGGAGACTCCTAAATTATCCCAAAAACCCTTTGGCTCAACTAATTACTTGTAAGTACGCCTTGAAAAAATCTTTTACTAATACTTCCTTTATTTGGTCCACTCTTGTGAAAGGTTGGAAGGTTTGCTACCAAGGTATTATGTGGCACCCTTGAAAACCTCAAATATTAATATTTGAAACTCTAGATGGATCCACAATAACCCTAGTCTTAGAAGCAGTATTGAAGGTCCTTTGCATCGATTGGATTATAAACTCTCCTTACAAGACCCTATGAATGATGATAGCTGGAACATCTCCAAAATTTCATTTGTGCTACCAAACTCTATAATTAGTAATATTAAAGCCACTCCTATTCCTAATAAATTTATTGGTAATGATCATACGACTTGGGATCCTAGCAGTAATGGAGTTTTTACTACTAAGTCTTGTTACACACTTCATGACAATAACCCTCCCACTAATCCTACCCCAAAGCCTGATTTCACTTGGATATGAGAATTTTATTGTCCTAATAAAATAAAATTCTTTTTCTGGCAATGTATGCATAACCGAATACCATGTAAAGCTTTCCTACATCATATTGGAATTAATATCGAGGCCAAGTGCCCCGTTTGTAAACAAGGGCCATAAGGTGCTCCTCACATCTTCCTTAATTGTCTTATAGCAACTCGTTTCTGGAGAAATCTTAGTTTAACTTTGTTCCAACTCATAACAACTCCCACTTGCTAATTGTCTTGAAAAATTCCTCTTTGCAAGGCAGAAACCAATATTACCAATGGGCAAATATTCTCCCGTTTGCCATTTAGAACCTTTGGAAAAATAAAAATAATAACAATTTGAATAACCTAGACCTAGATCTTGGTGTAACACAAGTTCTTCATCAATCATGGGAATATAATTTCTTCATGAAAAGAAATCCTCTCCAACAAACCAAAATCAGAATAAAGATTGGTTGGACTAAGCCTCATCACAACACAGTCAAGCTTAATATTGATGGTGCTTTCTTAAAACCAACCTTGCATGCAGGGATATGTGGAGCCTTTAGAAATAACAATGGTGACTGGATCATGGGATTTTATAAATCTTGTTATGCAGCATCTTCTTTGCAGGCAGAACTACTAGCACCGGAGCAAGGTCTTAAAATTGCATTGGATATGATGTTCCCCTGTTAGAAATCGAATCAGAAATGATAAAATTGTTAAATGAGGACAATGCCCTAACTAACAATACGTTGCTCAATTGCAGGTCATTAATGCACCAATTGAAAATACCAATGATCAGGCATAACTTCAGAAAAAGAAATGGTGTAGCACATCAACTAGCAAAGGAAGCGATTAGCCACTTCAAGCCTACAAGATGCGTGTATCTTGTTCGTCCACCTTTTTTTGTTGAAACTGAATTAGAAAAGAACAAGCAAGGATTATGCTTCGGTACTAAGTTTTTACCTACCAATATTTATAATAACCTAGCTGCTATAAACAATAATAATGTCCTTCGGGACTATGTGAAAATTATGTAATACTTTTGTTTAAGTAATACAAGCTTCCTTTTTACGTTAAAAAAAAAGTTTATATTGTTGGCCATAAGAAAATTTTACTTTTTTTTGAAAATGTTTATTTACTTTTTTCGGAATCAGTGTTTAGCCATGAACTTTTTAAATTTCACTTGAAGATAAATTTCGGAATTTTGTCGAAAATTTTAAAAACTCCAAAAGGCTGTTTTTCAAAATGTACACTTCAACTCACTCAAAAAAGTTCGAAAACAACTCCAAATTGTATTTATGTCCAAACACAACTCTGTTTTTCAAACACTATTTACACTTGATTTTTTTCCCACTTTTTTCCGGAATTTCACAATTCTTATGTCCAAACGCCCACTAAGTCTACTATATAAACACATTCGTATTGTTTGTTTGTTTGTTTTGTTTTCCTTTTTTTTCTTTTTCGATTCCCTCTTTTTCTTGTCTGGTTCTTGATTGATTGAAATGAGTACGCCACGAGTCACGACTGATTAAATACAAAAACAGAAAATAAGGTTCCTCAGAAAAAATAAAAATAAAATTGAAGAAAAGAAGACAGCCAATGAATATCAAAAGGCAGTCAAATGAAATTTATATACGATGTCATATGCTACCCGTGATATTGCAAAATGCAATAATTTAAGTTTATCGATATAGTCGTTACAGACTCAAAGAGTTGTTCCATGCCAATAATGGCATGCTTTTTCATGCATTGATAGTAGCGAGGAAGAAAATTACATATTTTGATACGAGTAGTTGTTTAATTTCTTGTTTTAAAATACTCCTTGTAGTAGTCTAACAATTATTCAAAAACCGAGTGGAATCTAGCTTTTCACATATCACAAAGGCCAAATGTCATATTAAAATCTATATATGCCATCGTGATGACCACCATCGACATTAAAGACAGCTTGGTGTACAAGATATTCTGTATTCACGCAAGATTCGGAAAGAGCTATATTCTAGGGGATGTAGATATTCTACCTTAATACAAATATTATTGGCTACGTCTACGGCTTGAACCTATGGCCTATATCACGAGGATTAGTACCAAGTATTAATCCTTAATCTTCTTGCTAATACGTTTCCCCAAGTCTAGAAAGAAAGTTTTTATCAAAATATTTAAATGTATCATGCCTTAAACCAAAATTAGATAAATTACCGCCAAGTGCAATAGTTATGGGTTCACATGAACGCAATAAGTTTTGCCTAAATCTTATTTTTGTATTAAATTTTTTATTAAATATATAAGAATATTTAGCTCAGAACCCAGTCCATTGGTCAATTATTGTAGTATTCAAATTTAAGATTATTATAAGAACCCATAAACTTAAAATTCAGAACCCATAAACTTAAAGTTCTGAATGTGTTTAATTAGTACTTTTGTCTATTGTATTAAAGTAAATTAAATTATCTTATGTTCGACATAGATTCGAAAAAGTAAAATGTGACAAATTACTGAAATGAGGGAGTGAATAACATTAGAATCCTTTTTTAAACTACACAAAATCGTTAACTTTCTTTGTATGTATATTCTCTAAGGATTGTAGATGTTCATGCAAAATAAAGATAGATTTATCGCTTTAAAAGGAAAATTATGATAAATTTTCAACAGCAAAATACCGTATTAGTGGTGAAAAAAAGTTCTTTATTTTTCTAAAAGAGAACAATTCTTTAGATAGAATATTTAAAACTGAATTTGGTGTCTTTTACTTTTGTTAGGTCTCTACAACTGTACACGAAAAAGTTCCTTTTTGCACATAAACTTAGGGTTAGTTTGGTTTGGAATAAAGTCATGGTGAGATTAGTTATGTTGGAATTAATTATATTAGAATTAGTTATGCTGATATTAGTTATTTTGGTATTATTTTTTATTGATTGTTTGATATAATGTATTAATTATGGAATTGTCAATTTCAATGCCTTATTCTTGGATAAATTATCTTGGGATTACTATTCCAACATCTAGCAGGTATAAGTTATCCCGATATTATTTTTAATCCTAAAATTCTAAGATTAATAACCAAATAAAGGATAAAATGATAGTACTAAATTTTTATGCCTAGATTAGTTTTGCTTATCCGTCGTACCAAACAACCCATTAGTGATGAAAAATATTTTGAGAGCGGAACTCCTCCGCTCCTCCGACGCCTCAGTCCTCTTTCCCTCTAAAGAATTTGAAAATAATGAATAAAAATATAAAAGAAAAAGAGTTTTCCTTTTTTCTTTTTTCCCTAATGCCTTTATTTTATTTTGGTGAGAGGAGCTTTTGAAAAGAACAGTTTGAAATATAAACGTGTGTTACTTTAATAAAGTAAACATAATTGCTAAAGTTTGAATAAGGCCTATATATTGTTCCACACTACTAATTTACCAGTTCAGTATCTCCCTACATTTCTAAAACCTATCTCTAAACCTCTTTTTTTTTTTTTTTTTTTTTTTTTTTGCCGACATTAATGGACGTTGAAGAATTGCTTAACCTCTTCAATTCTTACTGGTTTGAATCTGAAATACTCAAACCCAAACAACCCTTTTCAGCAACAACCTCCAAAACCAAAAGTAACCCAAATCTTGAATCCAATGAACAAATTCTTGAACAGCCAAAACTTTCAAAAGTTCCAACTTTTATGGTCAGATCTCAAAGTGACCAATGCTTGAGCTCTAAAGATAGTAGTTTTCATTCAGAAAACTCACCAAAATCTGTTCTTGTTGAGCCTAAACTTGAGCCAATTCTTTCTGGTAAAGAATATAATGAGTTTCAATGTTCTTCTAAGCCAGGTGTTAAATGTAAAGAGAGTTATAGAAGGAGAAAAAAGAATAGTAAAAGTTTGTCAGAGTTAGAGTTTGAGGAGTTAAAAGGGTTTATGGATCTTGGTTTTGAGTTTTCAGATAAAGATAAAGAATCAAGTTTGGTGTCAATACTACCTGGATTGAGGAGATTGGGAAGGGAAAATGAAGAGAATATCAGATTTGAGGAATTAGAAGCTGCAGTTTCAAGGCCCCATCTTTCTGAAGCATGGGGTGTTTGGGAAAAAAAGAAAAAAAATCTACTCAAAAGTTGGAAGATTAATCCTGTTTTTGGAAATGAAATGGAAATTAAAGATCAGCTTAGGTTTTGGGCTCATACTGTTGCTTCTACTGTCAGATAGTTATAGCAATTTTCCCTTCTCGGACCACCAAAGGATGTGGTGTAGTGGATGGGATTGTTCTTCCATTGACTAGAAGTTTCAGGTACAGAGCCTTGGGTATGGAAAAATTTTTGGCAGGGAGCGCTTCCCCGAATGGGGCCCTACGCGACGTGAATCCGAATATAATCGGACTCCAATGTGTGTACCAGATACCGGGTGAGAAACCAAAAAAAATTCCCTTCAAAAAGATGAAAGTGGTAGGAGGGGAAATTGCAAGTAGAGTTGCTTTTTTTTTTTGTTCTAACTGTAATATATTTGTATGGCTAAATTCTTCAACTGAATCATTTACAATTTGATTGCCATCTTAGAAATTTTTGTATCTAAAAGTAATATCTTTAGATTTCATTACCACCCAACCTTGGAAATTATCTTTAAAAAATGGTTCTGAATTATTAGTTTTGATATACTTTAACTATTCCATAATGCCAGTTAGACATCGAGTAATTTTGGAGAAAAGGCACAAACAATCATTCTTAGGGCGGTTATTTAGGGATAAGCCAGTACATTTTTTGTCCTAAAAATTAGAGAAAAAAAACTAATTTCAGGACAATTCAGTATATTTGTGTCTCGAAATGAAATGGAAAATTGAAATTTAGGACATATTGGCTAATTCCTAATAGCAATCCTTTCTAGTGTTATTTCTACGCTATTTTTGTTTATCAAAGTGTAAAATCATAAAAGAAGTCATCAAGTATTGTTTACATCCGCTAAAAAATGAATAGTGATTTTCTTTGATTTTTCACTCAACTTTTAATAAGAACATCTAGGAATCACAATACTCATTGGCTGCCTGTTGATGTATAAGCCATTCCAACATCTACATCCGCACCTCCTGTTCTCTTTTTCTTCTTATTATTTTGCTTTTTCCTAAATCATCAAATGCGAGAATAGTTCAAAGAAATTGAATTGGTCCATTCAATTTTTGAACGAGTGCCATCCACGAGAGGGCAACAAAACATTGTGTAAACCAACCAATACTGACTTTTCTACGTGTATACTTTGTATGTTTATCTATATTCATATCAAAGTACCCAACAACTTTCTAGATAGATCTAAATGATATTTATCTTGGAATATATATCCTCCCTATATTCCTAGTCTATTTCCTCCATTTAATTGAACACAAACCTTAAAAACACTGTAATTTAACGTGTTTATTAAGTATATAGTAAGTAATTGTGGACGAATTAATACTAAATTTAGTACTCTATTTGTTTTGTGATAGAAAAATAAAGAGTTGAATATATAAGAGGGCTGTATTTGCTCGGAAAATTCATGTTCCCTAAACTCCGTAAATCAGACCAACTATGATATATGCACAATAATATAAATCCAAATATCTAGCCTCAGCTCCTTATATGACCAATCCGCTGTATACATTGATCTCTGCTTTAATATTATTATTAACTCCAATTAGCTTCTTGTATTAGTCTAATTATCACATATCAATCAATAAGGAATGACACTTGCTTGTCCATGTAATACCTTGTACTTAACAAACACCTTGGAAGAAAAACTGAGGCGGCTTAAATAACAACGACATTTGTGAACAGAGGCGGAGCCAGAATTTGAAGTTACTGGGTTTGGGATTCTAACCTTTTTATATCACTGGGTTCTAAAGTAAGAATTTGCACATATTCAATAAATTTCTTAAGACAAATATATGATTTGGACTAAAGTTACTGGGTTCGGCCGAATCCGTTATTCAAGCTCTAGCTCCGCCCCTTTTTGTGAATAAAACTAAACCGAATTAACTGAACTTTCAACGTGAATCAGTCAAATAGCTCCTAATTGACTTGACTTTCCACCTAACAGAACAATGATTGGAGTAACTAACAGCTTCTTTGGATGGTTGTTACCACTGTATTGTGTTGTTATTTTGAATGTAATAGTATAATGGTGCTTAGTACGTAAAAGGGTCAATAAAATCAGATAGAAATTAGATACATTATAAGTTATATATGTTTAAAGATTTTTTTACTAGTTTGTTATATCAGGTTATTTATCATCTTTTTTCCAGAATACCTATTAATGTTCATTATACAAAATTACCTTTGTTTGACCAAAAAAGTGTTGAACATTTCAATTAAATCAATTAATGATGAGATGAAGGGTGAATCATAGTTAAGAATAATAAGATCTAGACCAAATATTATGCGAAGCCGGTAAGATAAACGACGTTAATCAGTGTGTTTCTACTTATTAAATGTTCATGAATGCAATAACATAAATGTGCATTAAATGTAGATAATGACAATGAATATAACAAAAAGGAATCTATCACCAATTATTGTAAGACTTGGATGACTCTTTTCCCTGACAGCGGTGTGGAGAAAAGAGTAACAAAGAGGGTTGAGGAATCTTTGGATCTTGTGAGTAAAGAAGCAAAAACGTGTGCTTGAATAATCAATGAACAAGACAACTGTAGTGTATTCTCTCAGGTCAACCTTTTACAATGTGTTTTTTCTCATAAAGTGAAGATTCCCCTTTTTGTTCTCAACTTCTCCTATTTATAGGGGATATTTCCCAAAAACCCTAAAAAGTACAAATTAAGGAATATCCAAAGGAATATTCCTTGTATCCATATCTGAACCTATGCTACTGTTATTTCTTCATCTCAGCTGCCCGTCTTTGGCATCAGCCCTCTCGAGAGCAGCCTTTAGTTACTACACCGCGTTTGACCCCGTCCTTGATCTCACTTATCCCTTACTTCCTAGTCGCCAAATTTAGACCAATACAGTTAATCCCTCCGCTTGTTGAGGTCGTGGTCCTGCACGCCCTTGATAAGCGGACCTGATTCGCCTCCGTTTCGGAAAAATTTGGTTGTGTTGAATAAGTCGGGTCGGTCGAGGTGGAAAGAACGGGCGCAACCATTGAAGTCGTGATTGGTGTTGCTACTAGGGGGTGACGTCATGGCCACGCGCGTCATCATTGCTCATCTTCCCAAGACAGCGTCTGTGTGCCTGCCGCTTTGGTTTTGGTGCCATTGACAATCCTTTGCTTTGATTCTCGCGCCACCCAGCCCTATAAATAGATGGGGGTTTCATTTTTCAGAAGTTTTCACCATCCTTCATCTTGCATGAGCACTATTCTTCTTTGATCTTCGTTGCCAGTTTATGCTCTTGATTTCGTTTTACTGGTTCCATTCCTCTCCTCCTTACCTAATTGTTATCTTCTTATTTGAGTTAGGTAGAACACATTCCGTTGTTGAAACATGTCACAAACTCTTCGCATTCATGATGAAGTTTCCGATGCTACTCCGTTATCGGTGGCTCCTCCTCCCGGTGGTGAGGATTTTATGGCTGAAGAAGATGAGAGATTTCCGCCGCGGAGGAGATAGTTCCCAGAAATCTTTTGTATAGAAATGATTTTCCCAAGGAGCCTGCTCCTGCTCCCGCTCAGGTGATCTCCGAAACTGGTCTGTCTCATATAGCTGAGCTTCGATCCAAATATCTCATCCCCCCGCCACGTCGAGATAATTCCGGCTGGAGGCGACATCGTAGAGGTCCATCGACCTGGGTATTGTGCCTTCTATGTCTACCCGTTCTTGATCGGTTACGCTCTTCCCCTTCTTTCGCTAGCGTAGGAATTTTGCCGATTTTACAACGTCTGCCCGGCACAACTCTCTCCTTATTTGTATAAAGCTTTTCTGATGCTGACGAAGTACGCAGAATTGGCTGGTTGTGAGGTTGATGTTCGTCACTTGCTGCATTTATTTTCACCAAGTTTTATAAAGGTACTATGATACACCTGCGGCATCGCGGGACCAGAGGGCTGATAGGCCGAATGGACGACAGGACGAATCGGAAGTTCTGGCATAAGTACTTTTTTATCAAGACCAAGCACTTGGTGGGGACCCGACTGGGTTTCCTGAGCCGTGAAACCATAATCTAAGTGTTTGTCATACGCTCGTTGTCTTTTTTCGCCCCTTTGTTTTCAGCTCATTTGCGGTCTCTTTGTTCTTCAGCTGAAAGACGTGCACCCTCCCCTGTCCTCGACATTGAAGATTGGATGGCTCACGTGCTGCCTTACATAGCGGGGATTCGTGATTGGGCGGTATTTACAAGCGCTTCGGACCGAAGGTCCCGTCTGGTAAGTGTTACTTTTGCTTTAGCTCTCTGTCGTTTACCATTGCTCGTTGATACGACCTCCTTTTGATGTCTGGGTCAGCGGGTTTCCAAGAAGAAAGCTCCAGTGCCGGCATTTCGCCAGGCTATCGCATCGGCAGGGATGCAATTTGCTTTGGCCGAGTCCATTCGCAGGGGTCATACCCAAGCTTTCCGCCCCTCAAAATGTTGTTGTGCAGGATGAGATCTCTTCCTGGCGTGTCTACCATCTTGTAGATGAGTCGTCCAACGGAGAGGAGTCGCCATCGAGAAAGAGGCGAAGGGTGGAGCTTGGGAAGGCCGTCGTTACTGGTATTAAACCGAAGAAACTCATTGCTCCGAAAGCGGCGCCTGCATTTGCACCAGACGTAGGGGCCGTTTTTATGGTGCTGTTAGGAAAAATAGGTCCTCTAGGGCCGAGGAGGTGCATAAAGGCGGGGAACTTGTAAGGACCGCGGAAGGTGGAGCATCGTCGGCAGCCGGAGGAGATGGGACGGTACCTGCGGGGGATGATGGTTCTGGTTTGGACATCGACCCTGAAGAGATACGAGTCTTCTTGGAGAGGAAAACTCGCGTGGAGGTAAGGACGGAGGGTCCCAACCGGCACATAATCATCCCCGTGGATTACGACCTTTTGGCCAACTCGGAACGGGCGGTGTCGTCCTTTGCCCAATTATATGCGGCTTCTGAGAACACGGCGCTGCTGGCGATGAGTGCTACTGAGTTATCGCTGAGTATATCTGGCATGGCTGCGAGTAAGTGCTTTTTAATGTTAGGATTTGTTTTGTATGTGTAATCTGTTTATACTGACTCTTTTCTTTTGCATGTCAGACTCTTATCATGGGGATTGAGCGT